TGATAGGGGTATTTAAAATGTCACATGTCCAGTGACATCAGGGAGGAATATTTTCTAGTTTTGCAGCAATTAATGGCAAACTATACAAAGTTCTGCTTATCTGAAGGAAATTTCATGGAAAGGGAGAGTATGAAAAAAAATTTTTATAAAAGGAAAAAAGTATGAATATAATTTTTTAATCATAGGGCACTGTTTCAGTTTTATGGGACAAATGATAATAAGCCAAGAGAAAGAAACAGCTTTCTTCTTAGTGTATTTTACCCTCACATAGTCTTGTATTTGAAATTAAAAGCCACGAGGAAATTAATGAATTACATTTTATCAGGCTAACCCTTCTACTTATGAGAATGGTAAATTCTGAACAAAATATATAAGCAAAAAGGCACAGAAGAGCAACCAAAGTAGGATCACTGAACATGTAGTAGGTACAACCGATTGAGTATTTATGTTCCCCCAAATATCCATATTTTAAACCTAATCCCCAACGTGATGGTATTTGTAAGAAGGGGTGCCTTTGAGAGATGATTAGTGATTAGAGGAATGGGATTAATACACTTATAAAAGAGGCTCTATAGAAATGCCTTGATCTTATGCTATTTGAGGACACAGCTAGAAAATGCCATTTATATACCAGAAATTGGGCCCTCACTAGATATCAAATCCACCAGCACCTTGATCTTGGAGTTCCCAACCAACCGAGAAAAAAAAAATTCTGTTGCTTAAAATCTATCTCATTTATGCTCTTTTGTTTATTTATTCTGAGACAAGGTCTCATTCTGTCTCCCAGGCTAGGGTACAATGGCACGATTGCAGCTCACTATATAACCTCAAACTCTTGGTCTCAAGCAAGCCTCAGCTTCCCAAGTACCTAGAAATATAGGCAAATGTCACAATGGCCAGCTAATTTTTTGTTTTTGTGTACAGTAGGGGAGGGTTTCACTCTATTGCCAGGCTAGTCTTGAACTCCTGGCCTCAAATGATCCTTCTGCTTCAACCTCCCAAAGCACTAGGACTGCAGGCATGAATCATATCTGACCTTTATCAGATTTTATTATAGCAACTTCACTAGACTATGAGAACAGGTCAAGAGAAATCATCCAAATTAAAGCACAGAGCAAAAACAACTGGGGGAAAAAAGATAGAGCCTAAATAGTATAGGTATAATTGATTTCCCAGAAGAAAAGAGAGAGAGAATAGGGCGGGAAACAAAAATACTTGAAAAATATTGGCCAAAAATATTTTCCATATTTAATGAAAAAGATAAACATATCTATCCAAAAAGCTTAACCAGGAAGAAAGATGATTGAATAGAAACCTCCAGCAATCATCCCTCTGCACGTATACTTAATTGAACAACTATCCACTAAAGCAAGCACCTTCAGAAAAAACAAAAATCAAGTGAGCAACTAATTATACCACCTGATTTTAACATTTTATCAAGAAGAACAGCACAGAAGAGGGTAGAAAACACAAGTCTTGCACAGCCTTTGCTACCTCTCTGCCATCTTTCCATAATGCTACATCAGCAGCCAAGTAAAATAAAGTACCAGCCAGATTCCTGAGGCCCCTGAGGCCTTAGTTCCTGGGTGGCATTTCTGGACTAACTCTGGGCCAGAAGGAAACATGCTGCCTTGAAGAGAAGGACCCAGTCCTGGTAGAATTCACTACCTGCTAAGCTCTGGGGCAGTAAATAGGCAAGAGGGACCAATGGCTTTCCTTAAGACTGGGCTCCTTTCAAGTGCAACCAGGTATCCCCCAACTCCATCCATCTAGCACAGAGAGGAAGAAAAGAGAATAAAAGACTTTGTCAAAAATCCAGGGAATTCTTTTGTATCATACCCAAGCTCACCAAGCAGTACCAAAAGGAATTTGCAAAGAGTCACAGTATTACTAGGCTTGTGGGATTGCAAGCGCTAATAGAGCTTCAGTAACTAGAGACTTAGACCACAACACACTCCATTCGATTTGAGTATTTGGAAAACCTTCTCAAGAAGGATTGGTTCGGTGGTGGCTGGCCGGGAAAATGGCGGCTTCGGGAGAGAGTGGGACTTCGGGTGGCGGAGGCAGCACAGAGGAAGCATTTATGACCTTCTACAGTGAGGTGAAACAAATAGAGAAGAGAGACTCGGTTCTAACATCCAAAAATCAAATTGAAAGATTGACCCGTCCTGGTTCCTCTTACTTCAATTTGAACCCATTTGAGGTTCTTCAGATAGATCCTGAAGTCACAGATGAAGAAATAAAAAAGAGGTTTCGACAGTTATCCATATTGGTGCATCCTGACAAAAATCAAGATGATGCTGACAGAGCACAAAAGGCTTTTGAAGCTGTGGAGAAAGCTTACAAGTTGCTACTGGATCAGGAACAAAAGAAGAGGGCCCTGGATGTAATTCAGGCAGGAAAAGAATATGTGGAACACACTGTGAAAGAGCGAAAAAAACAATTAAAGAAGGAAGGAAAACCTACAGTTGTAGAGGAGGATGATCTTGAGTTGTTTAAACAAGCGGTATATAAACAGACCATGAAACTCTTTGCTGAGCTGGAAATTAAAAGGAAAGAGAGAGAAGCCAAAGAGATGCATGAAAGGAAACGACAAAGGGAAGAAGAGATTGAAGCTCAAGAAAAAGCCAAACGAGAAAGAGAGTGGCAGAAAAACTTTGAGGAAAGTCGAGATGGTCGTGTGGACAGCTGG